TCTTCCTTGTCAAAAATATTAACAAAATATTTACAACTATCTTGGCAAAAACATAGATACAAAATATTTAAATTTCTTTGCTTTACATTTAAATTTGCTATATGTTAAAATTACAATTTAATAGAAAAACTAGCACCACAACTGCAACCTTGCTCTGCTAAAGGATTGTTAGTTATCCTAAATGCAGAACGTATTAATTCAGTATGATATTCTATTGTTGCTCCCTTAATATATTCTAAAGATGTTGAATCTATAACCACTTTGGCACCATCCTTTTGGAAAATTCTGTAATACAACATTACATTCAAGTAACCTTTAATGACAAGAATATGTTCATATAACTAATTATTTTTATAACTCTTACTTATCATCTTCATTTATGTTTGTATCCAAGTCAAATTTATATTGAAAACCGGAACAACCTCCACCTTCTACTGTAACCCTTAAGTAAGCATTGTCATTTGTAATTTCCTTTAAACGTTTAACACAGCTTTCTGTAATTATGATGTCATTTTCAACTCCAACTGCAGCTTCCATTGATGCCTTATTTAATGATGACATTGTAGATACATTGTACCATTGAGAACTATGAATAAAGGTTATTCTATAATTCACTGATGGTATAAAATTATGGTTGTTAGAAATATACGCATATTATCAACTATTAAATACAATACGAATTACAATATATATGTAAACATTTATTGCCAAATGTCGATCCTTATAAACTCTGTTTATTTATTAAAACAAAATAGTTTTTCACATCGAAATAAATTTAAATAAATTTCATATGAATTAACTAAAAATTTAAGAATAAAACTTACGTCAATAAACGTGAAAAATATCGATTAGCAACAAAATTAGAAGAAAGACCCCAAATCGCGCGTTTCAATTTCGCCATATTTTCAATATATATAGAATAATCGACAATCATATAATACATAGATGTGAATAAGAAATTTATTTTACCACACAAGACTTTTCACTAAATTCATGATGCAATTATGGGAAATTTTGCATAGTTACAAATAGTAGAAATATTATATATCACCATATTAATTCAAACCATGCTAGTTAAAGGTATAAAAAAAATTTTTACATTATAAATAATATTTTAGACTAAATATATGCTAAAATTAACCAACTGAATTTTCTGTCAACATAAAACTGCTTCTTGTATTCAATGTAAACTATACTGTTGTGTGGATACGTGGGGAATTTGATAGAGTTGTCGCCCATGAAGCGCTAAACACTTTGCTCGTGGTTATTTAATATATTTACAATGAATAAGAAAATTTAAATGTTAAATCTTTTATGTAGCGTTCTTATTCCTATCTTATTCTGAACGTAAGAATAAGAACGTAATAAGAATAATAACTTAATAACAATATATTTTAACGTTTTACTATTTTTTTTTATTGCAAAATATTACTTCTAAACCTTTTGAGCGGGAACAAAAAATTTTCCAAGCGTCGTCAATATTCATTATTCAGTGTTACCATGTTTTTGCTAAATAATAATCTCCTATTAGATTAATGATTCTATATAAATTATGATATTATACCAAAAGCCGGAATGAGAATGAAAACACGCTGTCCCCAAAAAGGGTATGCAAGTAAGTAGATGATACTGCATAATGGAAAACAATTCATGAACAATTAATGAAGAAAAGAATATCTTTTTAAACTTTCTTGGTATTTCCCGGGAGTTATGCGCATATACACACTTCGTCGGTCACTTTACATACAAATTACAATATTCTACGTTACAATAGATACAAGCTATATTTCAATATAAGATAAAATTATGGTTATATGTTACATTTACTTGTTATTAATATGTAGTGCGCTGAAGGTTGAAAAGAGTAACATGCACAAAAATCGCGAAGGGGGGATATCATGATTAATTCACACAAGTCCAGGAGCGTGGACCTAATGGCTGGTTCGTATGAGTCACGGAGCATGGACGTCACAATATATAAAGCAGCCCACCTAATGATGTTATTGGACACTACACATTTCAAACTAGCGCGACGTTTAAATTTTAACGGATAATTTGTGTCAATAGTAATAAATAGTTATATGTATTGGATGATTGCAAAAGTTCGTGCCCGATTTTCAGAGGTAGCGAGAACCTTATCGACTTCGGCACAGATGTTTCTTTTAGCGTAATGTTACATTCCTATCGAAAGATACACCGTTTGTGCTTTATTTTCAAATAATTATTCATTTCATTCCATTTCAGTTTCAAATAAAATCTGCTTTTGCACACACTGATTGTGTTTTATTTTCAAATCGGGCACGAACTTTTGCAATCATCTAATATATACACAGTGCTATATGTAAAAGTTTTTGAAATAATAAAAGCTGATATAATTTAAATAATTACAAGTATGAATGATACACGAGCTGGGAAGAAAGAAAAGTGTCAGCAAATGCAAGTATTTGTCCGTGTTAGAAACGTAAATGATTTTTTCATGAATTAAGAGAAGATTTAAATTATAATCAAAAGATTTAGTGCGCATTTCCCAAAACACATCGGTGGCTATAACTTTTAATAAAAACAAAATATCAGAATACACCTTGCGCCAAAAAATCACAAAAAATTCAAGCTTTCTGGCAATATAATTTTTTATACATTTTTCACATTTTAAATGTAATTTTTACGCAATTTTTAATATTATGTCCCATTAACGACGAAAATAATGTGACTTCAAACACAATTATCTAAACAATATATCGTCACAAAATTATAGCATTCATTTTTCATATAGTTTTATTCAGTCATAAATATGTTTACACAATTTTATAAAAATAAAGTTTTTTTCTAACTTTTTTTGTTCTTATTTAATAAAATACAACATTTTTGAGCAAGGTATCCTTTCATTAATAATGAGACAATAAAATACAATTTTTCATACAATTAGAAGGAGTAGGAAAAAATGTTTTTTACAAAAAATACAAAATCTTTATCACTATTTTATACATTATAAAACAATATAAAATATAACATACATTATAAAACATTACAATTTTCATGTACATTTTAGTTATTTTATAAACAAGGAGATTGTATTATACTTTATCTATACACATTAAATGCATTATAGTAAATACTACTTAATACAATAATGCAGTATATTATTTTTTGTTAATTATTTTATACTTATTTTAT